TATGGCCAAAGTAAAATCATGAAATGCAGCCATTTTTTATTTGGATTATTATTGAATTGAATTGGAGAAAGTGTGATGAAGTGTTTTAGTGGAAAAGAACATAATCCAGCACGATACAGGCTGCCCTACATTCTTTAAAAACTACGGCCACAGCAATTTATTATCTAAATAGCCTTGCCTTTCAGATAGCCTTGTCCTTCATTGTTGATATGCTGATCTAGATCAAGCCAATTACATAAAGCGCATCCCAGAATCAAACATGTGGGAGATAACAGCTGTACTGAAGAGCTGATTATTCAACAATCAAATTGTAATTGCCATCAGTAAATTATAGAAAGCATTACTGAAAAAAATGAACACAAAACGTGGGACACCACACCCAAATCATTTTTTATACATCCCTCAACATTTGTTGCTTTGAATGTTTGAAAGCCGTAGGAGAAGATGCATTACTGACTTGAACGTTGTGAGTTGTAGCACAGTAACTAATGCAACACGTCCTGCTGAAATGTTTATATTTCATATTCATAGAGCTCAGAGCACCCTCAACATTTGTTGCTTTGAATGTTTGAAAGCAGGAGGAGTAGATTTAAAAGTGATATTTTAGCAGTGAAATTAGGTTTAGATAGTCAGAAAATATACCATATGCTTCAGAATTAGACAGGTGCACATATATGGGCAACCCAACAGAAAAATCACATTACTATTTACTAGAGCCCTTTTGCAAAAATAACAACCCCTTCACCACATATGTGAAACTCACGTGCCCGCGGGCGAAAGCCGGTCTGCCGGGGCATCCCGGGGAGACCGGCTGGCCGCCTGAGTGTGGATGGCCCACCGGATGACTTTGCTATTGTGAGGGATGAGGTACGAGGGGCCGGTCGTATTTTTTTTATTTTATTGATTTGTTTTCTGGCCGTTGTCTGGCTTTAACACCCAATTCCGCCGTAACTTCAGCTTTGTTACCGATTCTTGAACACTATTTACTGAGGTACTGGTACTGAGTTGAATCCATGCGACCCTCAACTTCTTTAGGGCATGTGTGCAGAAAAGGTTTCTTCTGCATCACTCTCGCATACAGCGGTTCTCTGTGCAATTTGGGCTGAATGGTTGAGCCATGCACAGTGACACCATCTGCAGCGAGATGACCTTGCAGGCCTTTGGAGATGGTCTGAGGGTTGAGCATCCTTACCATTCTTCACCTTTGCCTCCTTGTTATCTCTCTTGGCCTTATTTACAATAAAAAATATACCATAAAATATGGAAGAACACAAAATAGAAGAAAATATATATTTGCAAAGTGTCCATGAGCAAGACACTCAACCCTTAATGGCTCCCCGGGCAAAATGTAAAACCATGCAATGGATTAAAAGCGTCAGCCAAATGACATGTAATCTAATCAAATGACAAATCACATTTTGTTCAACCACAAGTTTCTGAACACTGGACAGAGTGCAACAATGAGTAAATGTAGGCAATTATCTGCCCCAATAAGAGTAGGAATGTCTAATTTACTAGTCCATCTGTGTCAGGGTCAACTTAAATATATAGAGCTGTCCAGTTTAGAGCCACTATTGGTAGGTTTCTTATTCCTTACCTAAAGCTTAAAGATTGAATTGTGTATAATATCTACAAAGGAATTGTCTTCGGGGGTGTTAGTCACAGAACTTGCCGTCAGTTAAGCCTAGTTTATGCTTCTGGGTTTTCAGAGAGACACAAGGACACAAGAGCCCCTTGCGTGTCCCTTGCGTGCCTTTTCACACCTCCTTGAGTGCGTCGACCCATTTTTCTAGGCTTGCAAGCCTCCTGCAGCCCGCAAGGCTGTGATTGGTCTGCTAACTACATCCTTTCCGAAGTCTCACATTTGCATTTTCATAGCACAATACCGCCATTATTAAAACGAAGAATGTTTACGAGAAAGATTGAAGAGTTTTTGTCGGAATAAATGCGTAAATATGACCACTTCTACCACCCGACATTGGCCAGGCTGGCGCATGCTTCTGCGTATTTACGCACCGTTGTGTCGACGCACTCGTTTCAACTCATGGTTCTAAAAGGCTTGCGTGTGTTGCAGAGCAATTAACCGCCAGAATAATAGGTGGAGTAACGTTTTTTGTTGAAGACAACCTAGAGAGTAACGTCTTTGTGTGTGGAAGTTGTTGGTTTGGTTTTTTATTTATTTTATCATAGACTTTATTGCATCGTGCATCGCCACTGTTCCTTTTCATCGCGGACAGATTTGACCCGTATTTTTCTCCACAACTTTGTTCACCTCTCGACCGGCAAACCGACGTTTGCAGAGATCTCCCTCCATGAATCAGAGGCCATCTGCGCGTCCTTATAGTGCGCCAATGACGGGTTGTAGAATTGGTCATATTTACGCATTTCTTCCGAGAAAAGCTCTTCAATCTGATCCGTTCTCTCGTAAACATTCTTCGTTTTAATAATGTCGGTATCGTGCCATGAAAGCGGAAATGTGAGACTCCGTAAAGGATGTAGTTAGCAGACCAATCACAGCCTTGTGCGCTGCAGGAGGCTGCGTGACTCTCTAGGTCGTCTTTGATAAAAAACCTTACTCCACCTATTGTTCTGGCGGTGAATTGCAACACACGCAAGCCTTTTAGTACCATGAATTGAAACGAGTGTGTCGACACAACGGTGCGTGAATACGCAGAAGCATGAGGAATTAAAGTATTCTTACTGAATGTCTCTTACAAAGATAATTTTGTTTGTGTACAAATACAATGGTCAAGAAAAGAAATTGTGCTACCAAATGTGTGGCATAACGTGAGGTTTGGGTGGCGGAAGTAGGACTCGGGCGCAGAACCATCTTTTCACATACAAAATACTTTAATCAAAAGAACAGATTGCCTGGAAGCAAGTAGCATACAGCCAGGAAAAAAACTGTGCACCCTAGTAAGGGTCACAGCGAAAAACCAAGAAATCACAAGATTTTTACAAAAACAGGCAAAAAAACAGACGAACTGACAAAGACACACAGTGAGCATTTTTTAGTTGATAAGTTTAGACGACGTCTACGTTTAGACCACATTTCAACGTGCAATGCGGTCGTGTTTTTAAATGCACACAAGACCCGAACAAACTGTTCTTAGTGATAACGTTAACTCCGTTATCCCTCCCAACCACATACAGCCCCTTAGCCAGACTCTTACCTGAACCCCCCCACCCCCTCGGGTCCATATACTGTTCTCATGAACATCAATGTACCAACATACATTTATAACAAATACACAACGAGCAGCTCACATTACGGGGAGCCGCTGCGCAGCTAACAGCAACAGTCTGCCCGCATCTGCCCGTAGTTATTATAAGTGATATTTCAGGTTCATAACTTCACTAAGTCAGTAACGTTAAAGAATAAATACACAAAGAAACTGAATTCGCTTTGCTCCTTTTGTTGTGTTGTGAGATTATAAAGTAACTTTACATTTAGTTGTGTTCTTCAAGTTATTTTCTTAGCTTGAAATATATCATACTCCGGAGGAGAAGCTTTTCTTCCTAAATCAAATAAAATAAGATAATGGTGGTGTGGTGGTTAGCACTGTTGCCTCACAGCAAGAAGGTCCTGGGTTCGATTCCACCCAGTGACCTTTCTGTGTGGAGTCTGCATGTTCTCCCCGTGTCTGCGTGGGTTCTCTCTGGGTTCTCCGGCTTCCTCCCACAGTCCAAAGACATGCTCTGGGGATCAGGTTGATTGGGGACTTTAAATTGCCCGTATATGTGTGAATGTGAGTGTGCATGGTTGTGTGTCTGCGATCACCCTGGCTAGCGACCAATCCAGGGTGTACCCTGTCTATCGCCCGAAGTTGGCTGGGATGGACTCCAGCCCCCCCGCGACCCTGTGTGCAGGATAAGCGGTTTGACAATGGATGGAAGATAAGATCCCGTTTTTCTGTACTAAACCAGGTGTAAGGCAGGACCACTGCAGGGACAACCACCATCAGATAGATGTAACCTATCATCCACAGAAAACCTGTTAAGGAAAGCACAAAGACTTGAGGAAAGAAGCAAAGGACGGTGATGTTGTTTTTGATGACAGTATTAGTAATGAGACAAATAATGATAACAGCAGGTGTGTTAGAACCCTATTTACAAATAGCTCAGAACCCTTGTGTGTAAAAGATTATCTTCAAAGCAGCTATAGCATCGAGTTGGGCTGAAGTTTTACCAGTGGATGAAATAATAAAAAAAAAGATACAAGATAAAGTAATGCGAACTAATTCATTTTGCACAAACAGCAGTCTAGCTCGTATCGAGTGGACAGCACAAGTAAAACAATTGGTTATATTTCCCGGTGTGCTTCACTCACCTACTTGCAGAGTATTGGAGCCTGTGGCCTTGGATTCACCAGCCTGTTTATGTCGTTCTGCTTTCCGAAGAAACTTCGCCTCGTGCTGCACCCGAGAGAGAAGCGAATAAATCGCTTTTTTCCGACGCGTTGATAGGCGCCGCTCGTCATCACCGCCGCCAAAGCGTAGATACACTTTATGAAACTGCCGCTCACCGGGCACACACACAGCTGAGATTGAACTGATATTGTAATTTCCACAACAAGTACAGAGCAGAAATAGTGTTTATTTCTATGTTGGATAGAAGAAATTATATAAAAGATTATCTTAAGGAGACGAGCTACGGAGATAAGCCAGCGTATTAAGCGAATCAAGGAGACGTGAATAAAGACGAAATAACTACTAGTTGGGCGAGTAAAGCGTGGCTAACATTCGCTTCGCTTTTGGTGTGAACGCAGCGTTATTCGTTGATTTCAAACAATATTTCAACGTTGGAATTACGTCTAGCGCTCACTGGGATGGCTGACATACACTGGTGCAGGTGATTTTATATGGTGATGAATAGTGCCAATAGAAAAAAAGAGCACAGTTACAATACATGAAAAACGTGATCAAGAAAACAGCAGACATTTATCCGTCTATCTTTCCCTCTTCAATGATACGACGTAGACCGGCACCATCCTCCTCCTCCCCCTCCTCTTCCTCCCTGCAGCCTGTTCAGTTCCACACGAGGCTTCTACCCATCTCTGTACCAGCACTTCGCACCGTCAAATCGCCAGACTTCATCGCGGATTCCAGCCAGCAGAACTTGTCTAAAAACGTAAGTATTGTGTTTCGTCTTCACCATACGAATATATATATATATATATATATATATGTATATATGTAATATATATTAATAAGTATTTTGAATATCCGCAAAATTGTTCGGATTTCAGATGTATTTCTGATACAGTTAATCCCACATGCAGCCACTGAGGCACAATAATCTGTATGATGTAATCCAATATGGTCGGCTAACATTCCATCACAAACGGTGATAAAATATATTTACCATCACATTAGACTTGATTCATTCATGCACCTGCCTTTACCTGCTTCTATATTGTACTCCGACACAGACAGGAAACACCATCCCCTCAGAAGCATGATTCTTATTCATTGCATATTTCATGTCGTCAAAACTGATTCTGTCATCACTGTCACCAAAACCGAGGCTGGCGGAATGGCCTGCTGTTTACATAACCTCAGAGCGGGGAGCTGATTCGCAGGCTGCTGTATTGGTTGCGCTCATGTCAGCACTGAGGTTGGTGAACCGTGGTTGATTGTAAGAGGCTACAATGAGGCATGTAGTGGTTCAGCAGCTCTATTGTCTCCTGAATAAGTGCCGGACTGTTGCCTCACAAAGCCGTGAGCTCTTTCCTTTGGAGGACACCATGACCCCCTACTTTAAGCATATGCATTTGATATACTGTTTATCCTGGAAAGATGTTTTTTTCTGTGCGAATGATATTTAGGATCCTCGCAACGACTAGACCTATTGTATTTCAAGGATTTATTATTCTCTTTAAAGCACTTTGCCTTTTTGGGGCCTTTATCATATTTTTTGAATATTCAAAAAGTTGTTAATTTGGCAGGCATTTCAGAACAGGTGAAAAATTTGATAATTTTTGGGTCTCGCATTTGGCTATAAAGAAATGTCTTTGTGCCCCCTAGGAATTAGTACCACACTAGGCCAGTTTTTTCCCCCGATGTCCAATTGACTTGAACACACATGTGCTCTTGGGTATGCTCTACAAAAATTAAATCATGGTATGCCTCACTAGATTTTCCGCCATTTTTAATTTTGTGAAAAACACATTTATGTTAATTCCTCCTAAACGCTGTGCCTGATTTGGCACAAAATGTTCTGTGGATCATTATTGGTACAATGTCCCCCCGAATCATAAAAATCGTGTTGATATCCTATTGTTTTGAGAAGATATGGGCTAATGAACTTTGCAAGGGGTGTGGCTTAATCTGGTCACATAACACACATAAATGACATGACCTGCCTTCACCAAAATTGTGACAGTTTACATTAAACATTAATTAGTAAACATTAAACCCATGAATACACCCTAATCTTTTCATAATATTTTAAGAATATGGGGTGCTGCAGTTAAAATGCATTGAAAATCTGCCTTTATAGTGAATTCTTTTTTCATGATTTTTTTAGAGTTGTAAAAGACCGAACTCCTCCCAGTAAGATTAAACCCGATTCTTTTCAAATTTGGCCAGTGTGATCTTAAGACCTTGGCCTTTAAAAATTGCATTTTGCCGGAATATCAAACTATGTTTAATAAATGCAGAGCATTTTCAAAAAAACACCAATCACCATGAAATTTGAAGTTGTTTTAGCCCAACCATACTTTATCTAATCTGTTCCATACTCTTATAGCATGAGCTCCTTACCCTGTAGACATCCATATCATTTTTGACCTTAGTCATAGCACCACCTAGTGGCAACAGGAAGTTGAATGTTTTTTACTTTACACCCTGCTCCTCACAGGTTAGTCTGATCCCTTCCAAAAGACCAATGGCGACCAATCCATGGTGTACCCCTTCTATTGCCTGGAGTGGGCTGGGATAGACTCAAGCCCCCCCGCGACCATGTGTGCAGGATAAGCGGTTTACAGATGGATGGATGGATGGACAATAATAAAAAATACAATAACAAACAGTACAGGATGAAAGACATAATACAAAAATATATGCAGTTAAAATAATACACCAAACAGACAATACAAAGCTGCATAGTAGCACATTAAAGTAAGTAATAAAACCATAATAATTTTACAGTGCAGTGCTGAGCAGCTTTTAACAGATTTTTCTATTTCTATATTTTTAAAAGTACCGTATTTTCTGCACTATAAGGCGCACCGGATTATAAGGCGCACCTTCAATTAATGACCTATTTTAGAACATTTTTCATATATAGGGCGCACCGGATTATAAGGCGCATAAGATACTGCAGTCAAACGTTTGACGTCGGGGCGGGTGGATGGGGGGGATGTGGGGAGATGGAGACGGTGCTTTCAGGGTCCAATCAATAATGCAAGGTCCGTCCGCTCCCGCCGCCCCCCTCGCCATCCACGCCTTCAATCTTCGGCTGCTCTCCAGCCACGCCGCCTGCCAAGGGCCCCTTTTAGAACAACTTATTTTCCCCGTTGGTTCAGCTACTGTAAAGAAAGGGACACCGTCTCTCTCTCTCTCTTTAATCTCATAAAGTGCTCAGCAAGAACGACAGCTTTGTTTCTCTGACGCGCACTGAAACAAGCTCCATATCTCACGCGCTTGAGCGACCGCTCAGCATCTCGCCGTCGTAGACCGAGCTTTGGCATGTTTGGCAGAGCGCCTTGAGCGCCGTGTACAACCAGTATGGATCAACCGATTAACCAATTGATCCATATATAAGGCGCTCTGGAGTATAATGCGCACTGTTGTTTTTTGAGAAAATGAAAGGCTTTTAAATGTGCCTTACAGTGTGGAAAATACGGTACTGACAACGCTGCAGCTCTTGACCACGTTAGGCAGGTCGTTCCATTGGTATGTGCCTTTTTTAGAGGAAAAGATGATTGAACAAATGCAGTATGTCAAAATGAAATGGTCCAGTGTTGTATGGATAATACTCTTGAGGATCTAAAATAACTTGGCCTAAAAGAGAGAGCAACTATACACAAAGTCACAGAGGAAGAGGGCCAAACCATTTTGAATTTTATAGACCACGCACAAATTTTAAAATACTCAATAGCTGAGACAGATTGTAACTGTGGTACCTGCTCACCAGGACGTTTCTTCCCTCTGTCTCACTACAGGTGTAATATGTCCTCGGTGCTGCAGAAGCTGATCACACCTCTGGCCAGCAGCCCTGCTGAGCCTCCCAGGAACAAGGTGACGGTGGTAGGTGTGGGCCAGGTGGGCATGGCTTGCGCCATCAGCATCCTGCTTCGGGTAAGATACAAAAAACAACAATGGGTGGCTGTTACTCAGTAATATCCGACTCCTATTGTCAGCATGTGTAAGTGTGCAAGTGTGCTAGAGAAAGTCACTCAACCGTGTATCGGGACCTTCACAGCAGCCCACTGCTCCTGATGCTGAGCATTGGCTAAAGGCAACGGTTACATTTTTATGGATGTATCTGTGCATGTCTTTCAACAGTCAAAAACTGCATATCAAATCTATTTCAAAATAAAGCAAAAATGTCTGTTTAAAAGCAGAGTTGATAGTTTCGCCGGTAAAGCAGTGGGTAAAGTTGAATTTATTCATTTTGATTAAAAATAGTTATAGTAATAGTAGTGATCCACAAAGATATTAAGGAACCAGGTTTCTTTTATGCCCGTTTTAGAAAGAAATATCCTAGAAAAATTAGATCAATCAATATTTCATGAAACTAATCTTAGTTCCACAAAAACCATGTGGGTTACATGGTGTTAAATCATATTGTGAAAACCTACATTAAATACTTTATGGCTGTATTTTTAAATAATTGTACCTGGAGGGTAGGAGTACATGGTATCACGTACCATACCACACATATGTTTTTATGTCAGACAGTGAGAGAGACATCTCAAACGCTATACAAAATACATTCTTAATAATAATATAATAGCAGTCGATCTAATATAATAATTTGAAGTATAATATAAACTAAGAACAGCAGAGGAGGGATTGCTCTGTGGAGATGGAGAGAATGCAAAAGATGCTATGGCTACAGAATGAACAACGAAAAAGATACTGTTCACAGCATATCACTGTTCACTGCATATGACAGAAATTATTCAAATATTGAGAGTAGTAAGCCAGGTGTAAGGCAGGACTACTGCATAGACAAACACCATCAGATGTAACCACCATCCACAGAAATCCATGTGGAGGGAAAGCACAAGGACTTCAGGAAAGAAGCATGTCTAAGGGCAATGGCAAGTCATATCTAAGGGCTGGTCCACGCTGACCTGAGCCAGCCTAACTATGAAGAAGTGTAGTCTTAAATGAGGTGACTGTGTCTGCCCCCCGGACGGAAAATGGAAGTTGTATACGCTATAGTCTTAATAGCACACTGCTCTGGACAGGACCTGTGTGATGAGCTGGCTCTGGTGGATGTGATGGAGGATCGTCTCAAGGGAGAGATGATGGATTTACAGCATGGCAGCCTTTTTCTCAAGACCTCCAAGATAGTGGCTGACAAAGGTCAGGACCTGCTGCTCACATATGGCTAGACGCACACAAGAGAAAGGTCTTCTGATATCCCATGTTGTTGCACTTCCTCCAGACTATGTAGTGACAGCCAACTCGCGCCTGGTTGTGGTGACGGCAGGTGTTCGCCAGCAGGAGGGTGAGAGCCGCCTCAACCTGGTGCAGAGGAATGTCAACGTCTTCAAGGTTATCATCCCTCAGATTGTCAAGTACAGCCCCAACTGCACTCTCATTGTGGTCTCCAACCCTGGTGAGTACAATAAAACACACATTATCTTTATAACTATAAATAGTATCGATAACCGCTAATTGTAAAACACTCTCCAAAGTTGATGTGTTAACCTATGTGACCTGGAAGCTGAGCGGGCTACCTAAGCACCGGGTCATTGGCAGCGGCACCAACCTGGACTCAGCCCGCTTCCGCTACCTGATGTCCGAACGCCTCGGCATCCATGCCAGCTCCTTTAATGGCTGGGTGCTGGGAGAGCATGGAGACACCAGTGGTGGGTATACTCTCTGTTATTCATCATCAGGAAACCATCAGGGTACTTTGAATGAGAAAGTGAATGTCACATAATGCCATATTACTGTATTTTGTTATTTTCAGTGCCAGTGTGGAGCGGCGCTAACGTGGCAGGAGTCAACTTTCAGAGCCTGAACCCGGACATTGGCACTGATGGGGATAAGGAACAGTGGGCGGCCACACACAAGGCTGTAGTAGATAGGTAGGGTTTATTTGTTTGATTGAGTGTGTGTGAGAGAGATGCTTGAAAGAGAACAGAGAACATTTTTTCTTCCATCAAACTAACATTTAAAGTTAATATTTTAACTTTTTAAAAACTAAGCTAACCATCAAGTGGACTGGAATAATTATGAAATATCAGTTAATTTAATGTTAACCCTCTGGATATGGAACCCATTGCCGGTGACAGGAATCCCGAGATGGTTCCATTATATCTACCACAAAAGATCCATTATGATCCCCCATCATGAACCCATATAATAATGCCATACACCACTGGAAAGTTTGTCTGGGCTACAAAGCCAAACAAATCCGATTGAACATGTTCCAAACACAAGTCCGACAATATTTACAGAGTTATAACATATCGTATGCAAATCCTGGCCAAAACTGAACGCACTGTTAATTGGTGCACTTATCGATCGAAACTAGAGCGCTAACAACTAAAGCGCTAACAAATGAACCGAGACGGAACTGAGTACCTTTGCAGGTTTTTGGCGAAAGAACACATAATTCCTGTAACGGTTACTGGTACACGATGGAACCCAAAAGCACGACTCAGAGGGGGGAGACCTAATCAATAGTTCAGGCCAGGTCAATACCACGAGATCCGTCAGCAGGCAAATTCCAGAGGAGCAGGCAGAGAATCCGTAAGACAGGAACAAGCAGGAGTCAGAACCAGGATGGAAATCAGGGAGGCAAACAAATCCGAAAAGGAGCAGGCAGGGAATCCGGGGTCGGGTAACAGCAGGGTTTTGTCACTGATGCCACACCACTAAATGGTATAAATTCAAAGCACATGTTGCTCTTTGAACTTGGCTAAGGCGAAGAAGGAGCTAACGGGTGAGCAACAGCTCGAATAAAGGCGCTGTTTTTTTCTTGATGCTGGTTGGAGTTACCGCCGCATAGCCAAGGACTTGAAATGCAGTCCATCATGGCGGTTTAAAGTGTACTTTACAGTGGTAAAGTACACTTTAAACCGCCATGATGCCAATAATTTTCACCTGAACCTAAAGGGGAGAGGTATAAAAAATAAACTTTCAGACAGACAAGTGAAGCATTTCAAAATTCTCAGTCTTAAAGACCTCACAAGAACTGCGTGATGAGATCCACACCATAATGGCTGATGGTGCACAGTGTTTTCAAGAACTGTGCGAGGGAAACTGGGAGAAGGACTTGTTGGCAGAATAGCAGCAAAAAAAACATTACTGAAAGAGAAAAATAGAGTGAGACGCCTGAAATTTGCAAAAGAACAAGAAGGAAGATTGGTGTTGTTGATTGATGAGTCCAAGTTTGAACAGTTTTGACATGTTGGACGGAGGGAGGGGGAAAGATCTAAAAATGAGTGTCAACAGTTAAACATTGAGGGGGTCATGGATAAGAAAGTATACCACAACATTCTGTTGAGGCACGGAGTACCATCTGGGAGTCGTCTTTTTGGGCCTGGATTTATTTTCCAAGATGACTGTAGCCGCGATAGCGCTACCACTGTCGGGTTCCGCTTAAGGACGCATCGACACACGTTGAAAGCAAGATGTCTTTTATTTCTGAAGGTGGCAGTGAGCAGGATTTAGGCAGCTCGTCGCAGTGTTGCTCTGCTCGGCTCGGCTCGGCTCGGCTTCGCTCTGCTCGGCTCCGCACTGCTCTGCTCTCCGTGTCACCCCCCTCCAGATCCTGCTCACTGTTTTTCACAGGGAGACAATCAGTCAAGATTACTTCCACCTGTGCTTCTTACTCACCTACCGGCACCGTCCCCTGAACCACTCCCCCGCTCTCCCCCCTGCAGCTGAGCTAACCGCACCCCGCCACCACAATGACAATGACCCTAAACATCCTTCTAACTATTGCTGGAACTACCTGCGACAGAAGGAATCTGCTGGAACATTGAAAATAATGGACTGGCCCCCTCAAAGTCCGGACCTCAACCACATCTGACACTATGCCAGAGAGATGTGTTACTGTAATTGCTGCAAAATGTGGACATGTGGAAAATGTGGCCAAATATTAAGTTAAAAGTGGATAAAAACAGTAGGACTCACTTCATCTTTTGTTTGTTGTGCTCAGAGCAACCATCTGCATGTTTCATTATTTGATAATAATAGTATTATGTTGTGAAGATACACACACACAATGTAGGACTGTTTGTTTGTGTCGCAGTGCCTATGAAGTGATCAAGCTGAAGGGCTACACTAACTGGGCCATTGGACTAAGCGTGGCTGACCTGATTGAGAGCATCGTCAAGAACATGAGCCGGGTCCATCCGGTCTCTACCATGGTCAAGGTCAGACACACACAAACACACACAGTGTTGCAGCGAACCGCAACAGCTGATTTTTTGCTTTAGTCGTGATTGATTTGCAAGAATGAAAGTAAAATGTTCACTTCCCACTGCCCGAACAAAATTGAACGCGCTGAATTTTGATTAAAATAACATTTTGTGACCTCCATCAATGCTTTTTGAAACAATAGAATAAAAAAATTGCTGTCACTTTCAAGTAAACCAGATTGCTCCATCAGGCAAAAACAAATGAAATGTACGACCACCTTGTTAGAACAGGGTGCCCAATAGGTTGCTCGTAACAAAAAAAAAAGGCATCACGTCACGCATGCGCGGTCTACCGCGGGAGATGATCGAACAGAGTGCTAATGCTAATAAAAATAGTTTATTGTGGCTGTAAGCTCAACCTGTGGAAAACAAAACATGTTAAAATATTTGGCAATAAAGAGTTTTATATTGCATATGTTTTCAAAACAACATAATATGCAACCTTTGCAAAACAAAACAAGTGCAAGTAGGCAACATCTCATATAGTTTCTGTATTAGTGGCTGCAACGAGCCGGCTTTACAATAAAAATCTTTTCAACAGGTTTGCAGACTTACGGCTTCTCAATTCATGCTCAATGTTTGAGAAACTGTACCTTACACACAGACCGTATCCTAAATCAAGTATTTTTTCTTATGGAGAGCATGGTCATCTTTTGGGGGTGGGGGCTCTTGAGGAGGAGCTGGACGCAGAGTAGAGGTTCAGCTCTTTTATTTCCCAACAAAAATACACAGGGAAATCCCTGGAAACAAAAAACTCCTCCGAAGAGGGATGAACGGGGAAATGCTCTGGCTAAACTAGTAGCTGGGCAATACTAAATGACGGGAAGCAAACAAAACCCTCTCTTAGCGAGGAAAGGAGAAAATAACAAGTAGAACTAAAAATGCTCTGATTCAACTCCAAGAGCTACAAAGTCAACACGGCAAAACCAAACCAAACCAAAAATCTCTCTTATCGAGGAAATAAGAAAATAATTAATCACTAACAAAAGGCCTCTGAAATAATTTGAAGACCTGTGGAGCAATAAACGGCATAAGGCCAACTAAGGAATCTATAACAAGGTTCAGGACAGACAAAACTATGACTTGGACTTGATACTAACATGAGGCTGGTGTGCAAGACGAAAGGACATGACACACTGGCACAGGACAAGGGGAGACGCAGACGAAGTGTGGGAACAGGTGGACACTGATGACACATGAGGAAGAGCAAGGAACCTGAAACCAGAGGAGAGTTAATTTCCAAAATAAAACAGGAAGTCACAAAACAAACGTGGAGACAGGACAAAAACCCAACTTGATATACAGGTGTGACATAGAAACGGGGAATACTGCTAAGTGATTAGGATAAAAGACTCCACTTGATTTTCGTAGTTGCCTCCACCTGTATGATTAGTCTTAAATATCATTTATACTTTTCATGCCCTGTGACGGACATCCATATTCTCACTTCACTCTTAAGTTGTAATATCAAGTAATACAAATTTGAAAACCTTACACCACTCAGTAGATACTGTCTCTCTAACCCTTGTGCATCACTACGGACATAGTGGCTTTTTTTCTAACTTATTGGTAACTAAGTGGTGCTGTTTAATGCGTTTCATGCAGATCACTCCGATTCCAGGCTGTTAAAACAAAGCCGGCAAACGTTTAGTACACAAATTATTATGTGAACAAATGAAATGAAAGGGTTTTAAAATATGAATATTTGGTAGTTATGAACAGGACTGATTTTGGTTATTATGGCAGATTTTGACATTGACGTAAGAGCAAAAGAGAATGCGCACAAGGCACAAGGATGCCTACATTCTATGTGTGTGTGTGTGTGTGTGCGGGTGAGTGTTTCTCTATACCTGATCCCCCTAACTCTTTGTCTCAGGACATGTATGGTATTGGTGAGGAGGTCTTCCTGTCTCTGCCATGCGTACTCAACAGCACCGGTGTGAGCAGCGTGGTCAACATGACCCTGACGAATGCGGAGGTTAGCCAGCTGAGGAAGAGCGGCGACACACTGTGGGGGATCCAGAAGGACCTCAAGGACATCTAAACACATAGGCAGACAACTCATCCAGCACATGCTGTTCCCTGCAGGAAAGCACTCAGAGAAAGACCGTTCAAAGCCACAACGGTCATTTTTAAGTGTTAGACCACACGGTGCAGTCTGAGGTTCTTCATTGTTTGCAAAAGGGAGAGGGAACGTACAGTTTCAGATGTTTTTGTCCAACCACACGTTGTGTGTAACCTAATAAAGTTGATCCTTGTGGTGATTAATGTCTGTTTGTTTTTTTATCACTCAAATGTGTTAAAGGGGTCATGTTCTGAAGTGCTTCTACACGTTAATGTGGCTGTCTGACATGTCTTCCAACCCCCAAACGCTTTTAACAAACAACTTAAAAGTTTTTTTAATGATTCTTAAAACACATTAATACTAATTAAGACAACGTTTTTTTCAATGTTCCGGGGTTTACCGATGTCCTCAGACCAAGCGGGAGTCTGCCTTACATCACTATGGACCCCCTCAACACCCCCCTCTAACTCTGAAGCACTCAACTTTGTTTTTGCAAACCTCGAATAAACCATCTACCAGCATGAGGCAGAATCAACCATCAAAATGCGCTGTAGTTGGCTTTACAGTTCCGCACAATTTTCTACATTTTGTACCAGGCTTAGAAGGCACAAGACCAAAATGGATAAGTTTCATATATGAAGACCATATCCCGGAAAGAATTAGAAAAAAGCTGTGGGTTTTTGCATATCATTTTAAAATGGACTGTTTTTACAACCTGGGCGAATATAATAGAGTGCAAAGATTGGTCTGGTCTGGTCTGGTTACTAAATGATATGCTTTTTCAACATCAAAGTATGTCAACAGGTTATGGCGGAAACCCCAAGTACAAGTATGAGGCTTAAAATGAGCATGTCTCCTTTGATGATAGAACTAGTGAAGATTTTAATAATATGATCAAGAATGAAGAATACAACATTGTACAAGGAAGAGGGACTCTTACATTCATTTAATTGCACTTTTCACTAGCAAGGACGACGCCGCCAACTGAATGGGTTAAACAATTTTATTTGTGAGACATGGGAGCAATAGGATCATAAGTCGATCCGTCTGGTGTCCAGTCGGTCAGATAGGTTGTGGAGAGCTGTGTCGGAGGATCCGCCGTGAAGCCTGGGCACGACGAACCCCTTCTGGGACCCTACAAAAAAGGTAGAAAGAGAGGAGGGAGAAAAAAGTGGTCACTAAGATTGGATTTGGAGTGTTTCCATTACAGGCAGCTGTGGTGGTAGCTGATTCTCTGGAGTCTGAGGTTGGAGAAATGCCGGACAAGGAAAGAATGTGGCGGAAGTGGCTTTGGAACCACAATCTGGTAGCTACTTCGTGGGATTGTGGAAAGGGTCTCCTTCCGTTTCCTGGGCTCCATCATCACCCAGGACCTCAAGTGGGAGCTGAACATCAGCTCCATCACCAAGAAGGCTCAGCAGAGGTTGTTCTTCCTGAGGCAGCAAGAAATTTAACCTGCCAAAGACGATGATGGTGCACTTTTACGAGGCCATCATCGAGTCCATCCTCTGCTCCTCCATCACCGTCTGGTACGCTGCAGCAACAGCAAAGGACAAGCTTCAGCGTGTAATCCGCTCTCATCCTTTATTTTAAACTAACCCATAGCCTTATACTACTAACCCATAGCATTATTTTTTATTTTATTCCTTGTGCACTGTTGTCTTGTCGTCCATTGTCGTACTGTCTGCTGTTACGCACCAACCGCCAAGTCAAATTCCTTGTACATCTGACATATTATGGCAGTAAATGTTTCCTGATTCCTGAGATGGACTCCGTTGCATTGCTTTGTTGCATTACTTTCTTACTTCGATAGGTTACCTGATTGCATTTTTGAGTAACCTTCTTGACTTGCCTTGCTAGGTTATCTTATTAGGTCACCTTATTGAGTTACATTGTTACATTATTATTACTGCATATTATTATTATATAGTGTGGTGAGTCACCTGAGGCCCGCAATCAGGCGCCATGGACACCGGCCGCATCACAATCACAGGTTGAGCGCCGGCAGCTGGTGCCACTCAACCCAATCCCATTTAAGCGGCAGGCTTACACCAAACCAGGAGGCCGAGTGAGACAGACGTGTTCTAACCCCTCTTGTTTTGTCTTCAGAGACCAGCGCCTGACGCTCAGCCCGCACGACACGGAAACCCGGGTTCGTCGTTGACCCCATGGCCCACCCGACGACAGACCGCTAGAGGAGGACTACCGTCCTCCTGCATGTGTTGGACACTGCCTTGCTTGGTATTTTGAACAAATGTCAATAAACCCCGTAGGGGGACTAATTACACTCCCCGTGTTGTAGCGTCCTGACTCCTCCTGTGACAAATTGGTGGAGAATGCGGGCAGGACAGGAATAATGACTCCACCGGAACATTAAAGTGGTTTACGAACACTCTCCCTCCCCGGATCGCAGCGAACACAAACCACCCCCGACAACATGAATGTCTGAATCATACTGGGATGTTTACTGAAACTGATTGGCTGGCCCTACTAAAAGAAAATCCACCAGCCGCCATTATCTAAACGTGAACCACATACATACGTTGCTTCGGCTGCAACTTGCCTGTCCCATTCCGTCGGCTCCTTCAACACTATCGAAGGACGCATCCCTCCAGCAGCTGATTTGGATTGCAAACAAAAAAAAAGTTTTAAGTAAAAATATTAGTTAGTTTTGCTTATAAAACTTTTTTTTTTGCCTGCAAAACAAAAAGTTTTGCTCTTGGATCAAAAAGTTTTGCGATCTGAGTTTGTACGTATACACTACAGTGGGCGGTCAATGAACAAGGAGTTTCTATTTGTGGTTCAACTGGGCGCTCGGTGTCTGCTTCCACCATTAAACACTGAAGGGAGGTAAGTTGACTCTGTATTTTGTCAAAATTATTTTAAATGCAGCAGCACTTTACTGTCACTGTCAATTTTTGAGTCCCTTTTTGTTTCTGGAAAACTCTGCATCTGAGTCGTACCTTCCTGACACTTTACCTTGTTTTCATGTTGTTAGTCTTTTATTAAAAAACAACATGGAGAACTGCTGTGTTGACATGAAGCCCCACTTTCATGTCTGCTCACATAGTTATGTTAGCTTATTTAGTGGTATCATGTTGGTAAGGTGAGGAAAAAGTTATTTCTTTTAATTTTCTTGTTTTTGTGTAATAATCCAGCAGATGACTGGTCAAGTTCTCAGACATCTGCTTTTGAAAGATGGGCAATTATTCAGACATACTGTGAAATGGTATCATTTGTGTCTGAACATCATGCCGAACCACAGTGTACCCGAGTGTCAGTGCTTGCACAGACACCCATCACATTCCAAGTAGCCCACATTAAATATTATGAATATTCTAAACACTTCTGCAAACTGCCATTAAGTATGGTGCAACTAGTTCACGACTCTTTGCTGTCCTTGCTCCGAAATGGTGGAACGAGCTCTTTGAAGACACCAGGACCGCAGAGAGCCTTCACATCTTCCGCCGCAAACTAAAGACACACCTCTTCAGACTCTACCTCGACTAAAAGACTAACAAATTGTAGCACTTAAATTGTACTTATAGCGCCACTCATCTATAGCAAATTGTAAATTGGCTTATTTGAGGAAAATTCACTTTCTTGTTTCTTGTTCTTTTGAGTTTGTACCCTATGGTTGAATGCACTTATTGTAAGTCACTTTGGATAAAAGCGTCAGCTAAATGACATGTAATAATAATAATAATAAATAGTTGTTGGCAAGAGCATGGTTCTGTGATATAATGGGCTTATTCTTTAGTAAAACAAACGAAATGTTTCAGAATTTTCCCTGGGGAGCAATTAGACTCAAACTACCAACCTTACGGTTCCGAGTGCACCCTCTCTACCCCTGCACCACGACGACCCAGAATCATTTTATACTACAGCATGTGAGTGAGCAAAATAAAGCTTACAAATGAGGAAAAATATGTCACACCTGTAGGTCAAGTTGGGTTTTTGTCCTGTCTCCATGTTTGTTTTTTGACTTCCTTTTTTATTTTGGAAATTAACTCTCCTCTCGTTTCAGGTTCCTTGCCCTTCCTCTTGTGTCACCAGTCTGATTGTGTCCACCTGTTCCCCCACTTCCCCCATGTGCACTTTATAGTCTGTCTCTCCCCTTGCCCTGTGCCAGTGTGTCATGTTCTTTGCACACCTGCCTCATGAAAGAATTAAGCCCAAGTCGTAGTTTTGTTTGTCCCGAGCCACGTTATAGGCTCCTTAGTTGGCCATATGCCGTTTATGGCTCCACAGCTCTTCGATTTAGTTTAGAGCCTTTTTAGTGATTGATTGTTTTGTTATTTCCTCTGTAAGGGAGATTTTGGTTTTACATTTGTTGACTATTCAGCTCTCTTAGTTTAGCCAGAAAGTTTTTTGTTCCTAGGGACTTCCCTGTGTTTTTTGTTGGGAAATAAAAGCCTCAGCTGAACCACTATTCTGCGTCCGAGTCCCCCCGTGACAAAAGAGGCTAATGGGTGTAGTGGAAAACAAAAACAGAATAACAAAAAGCGATCCTCAAAAGGAAGACTTAATAGTCTTCCTTTAAGAAAACAAAAGGTTAAAAAGTCCTCGGTAATTTAAATACTTAGATTATATTATATTAGATTAGATTCAACTTTTTTGTCATTGCGCAGGGTACAAGTACTGAGGCAACGAAATGCAGTTTAACATCCAACCAGAGTGCAAAATAGCAAAAGGTGCAGAGTATGTGCATATGTAAAGTGTAATAAGTGAATAAATAGATATGTACAGTAAGAAATAGTTGTGCAATATGAACAGTAAGAAATGGATATACAATAACAGTGCAAATGTTCAGTGGCTGGAGGAAGGTGTGTGGCAGTCAAGCCAGGGTGGAGGGGGGAAGTACAGTCACTGAGGGAGATGTGTGTGTGTGGGGGTGGAGGGCAGAGTTCAGAGTTCAGGGGGGGCAGAGTTCAGTAGAATGACAGCCGCAGGGATGAAGCTGTTCCTGAACCTGCTGGTCCGGGAACGGAGCACCCTGTAGCGCCTCCCAGAGGGGAGGAGGGCAAGGGTTTGTAAGGATGCTCTCTATGGTACAGCGGTAGAAATTCTCTAGAATCTGAGGAGACAGATGGGCCTTCTTCAGTCTCCTCAGGAAGAAGAGACGCTGGTGTGCTTTCTTTACCAGGGATGAGGTGTTGAGGGTCCAAGAGAGGTCCTTAGAGATGTGGACACCCAGGAACTTGAAGCTGGCGACACGCTCAACCTCCGTCCCGTTGATATGGATGGGGATGTGTGTGCCAGTTTTCTTCCGGAAGTCCACAATTAGCTCTTTGGTCTTCTTGGTGTTGAGGGCCAGGTTGTTGTCGGCGCACTATACCGCCAGGTGCTGGACCTCCTCTCTGTAGGCCGACTCATCGTTGTCACTGATGAGGCCAATCACCGTTGTGTCGTCTGCAAACTTGACAATGGTATTAGAACCGTGTACAGGTGTTACAGTCGTAGGTGAAAAGGGAGTAAAGGAGAGGACTTAGCACACAGCTCTGTGGCACGCCGGTGTTCAGGATGAGGGTTGAGGAGGTGTGGTTCTCTACCCTAACAGACTGGGGTCTGTTGGATAGGAAGTCCAGTATCCAGTTACAGAGGGAAGTGTTGATACCCAGGTGACTGAGTTTCGTGATTAGTTTGGAGGGGATGACAGTGTTGAAAGCTGAACTGAAGTCTATGAGCTGAACTGAAGTCTCCTCACATAGCTGTTGTTATTGTCCAGGTGAGAAAGGGCGGAGTGTAATGCCGTGGAGATGGCATCTCCACGGCATTGCGGTAGGCGAATTGGAAGGGGTCCAGTGTGGGTGGTAAGCAGGTTTTGAGGTGAGCCAGGACCAGCCTCTCGAAGCACTTCATGATGGTTGGAGTGAGTGCAACTGGGCGGAAGTCATTTAAGCTCACTGCGGTGGAGTGCTTTGGCACTGGCACGATAGAGGTGGTTTTAAAGCACGTGGGGACAGTAGCTTGGGCTAGTGACAGGTTGAATATGTCAGTCAGGACCTCAGCTAGCTGCCCAGCACAGGCCCTGAGCACGCGTCCGGGGACGCCATCAGGGCCAGCAGCCTTACGTGCATTAATCCTGCTCAGTGCAGTACACACGTCGGTGGAGGAGAGTGTGAGGGGCTGGTGGTCTGAAGTGAGCACAGCCTTGATGGCGGCCTCCTGGTTGTCCCTGTCGAAGCGTGCATAAAAGCTGTTAAGCTCGTCAGGGAAGGAGGCATCATTGTTTTGGGGGGTGGTGTTGGTGGGTTTGTAGTCTGTTATGGCCTGGATGCCTACTTAGTAAACAATACACACCACACCCTAAACCTAATGTGTCTAAACAACAAAATCTGTGAAATGCAAAAGGTGGTATCAGTATCTAACTTAACCCTGTGCCCGCTTCCTCACGCTCTCAAACAAACAATCTGATCTGCAGCCGCCTCAGCTGCAATCAGTCAGGGACTTGCCCGGGACTTCTGGGCGAGTCTTCTCTCGTTCCTCCAATCTTCAATGGGGGATGTCACAGCCTGCTTGGCATTCACTTACTTTAACCCACACGAGGTTGCTGGGCAGCCGTAACACTTGAGTATTAACTCTCCGTTTCTATTGCCTCGGATTTCAGCATGTTTTATAAATGTTGCTGAAATAGTTAGCTGTTAGTTGACGTTAGCTGCACAAACAAGGCTAACGTTAGCTACTGTATACCTAAAAGAAGGCGCTGAAGTGTATTCATTTATTAAATTGTACGCTTTTAATTTTAATCTTGCAAAGGGTGCTGTTAAAATGCATGTCTCTATTTTGTGTAAAAACCCGTTTTGATTCTTTACAAATTATATTTAATATGAATCCATTAGACCACCATTACATGTTTCCTCTCATGCACCCCCTAGAGCACCCTGAGTGGTGTCTGCACCCAACTTTGGGAATTACATTACAGGTAATTTTAGCTGAGGTTTTTATCCAAAGCCACTTACATTACACTTTAAACCCATGGCTTTTACATTTTGCCCAGGGAGCAATTAGGGGTTCGGTGTCTTGCTCAGGGACTTTGACTTGAGACAGGGGCAGCCGGGACTCAAACCACTAACCTTGCGGTTCGCAGCGCACCCGCTCTAACCACTGTGCCACGACAACCCCTAGGAATCCCTAATATGATCTAATGTTAATATGTCTTCATCTAGGTTGGAGTTATACAGTGAATAAATTAATACCTCATGTTAAATTGCATTTCTTTGTTATTGTGTGTACCACTTGTCTGGGACTAGTATTAGGAAAAAGCACTAAATATCTACCTAGGTTCGAAGGAGAGGTAGGTTTTGAACGAATGACCAGTTTATTGCTTCACTTGATCATGCAACAATCACAATATAAAACAGTGTGAAATGAAAAAAAGAAGAGTAGATGATCGGGAAATTGTATGCTTCTTGTGAAAGAACTCAGTCTTTCCAGTGTAGATTTATGTACAAGGCCCAGGATATATTCCGTTCAGTCCGTGAATAGTGTGTGCGTGAAAGTTCCGAGTTCCGTTCTGGTCCGGGTCTTTATGTATACTGTCTCTCTGAACTACCTTACTACCGTCTACCTGACGGCAGGACTGGGGTCTGATGTCTTCTTGATACACGAATCAGGTTCGGTCTGGATCATACGGTAGGCCACACCGCATCCACGATCCAGGTTTAGCTCGCCATCTCAGCATTCAGATTCACAGGATTCAGGTTCTTCTAGTGTGCATAAAAAAACAATCTACACAAAGTGCAGAATAATCAGATTACATTGAGATGATAAAACAACATCACAGTAATACTCTTATAACATTACAACTTCACTTAATAATAATGTACAATTACAGATTGTGTAGGCAGTATTCCACATCACTAAACAAAGGATTTATCTTTTTCCATTAATACGTTATGTGATAGCTCATCACTATATTATATCACCATACTTAACATGAGAATACCTTAAAGTATAACTTGAACTTAATTTAAGATATGCTTAGGTTATTTAGACCGTGGGTTAACGTTGCATGCACGTAGAAAGTGGGGCTTCATGTCAACACAGCAGCCCTCCATGCTGTTCTTTAATAAAAGACACTGCGACACTAACAACATTAGTCGAACCACCAATAGAAACTCCTGATTCATTCAGCGGCGTAAGCCGAAAGTAAAACCTTTTTGTCCGAGACCAAAGGGTTTTTTTTTGAGACCAAAGCGTTTTGTATAGCAGGTAAAATATATATTAATAAGCAAAACTAACAAATAATTTATTCTCAGTTTATATATTTTTACTTACAAACTTTATTTTTGTTTGCAATGCAGGAAACTTGCTCTCGAAACTTTTTTTTTGTTGCATAATATAGACACAAATCTACCTTCATATGGGCCTCCTCCATGCTCTGACAGCAGCGCGAGCTGCGGGGCTCCTGTAACACTGACTCTCTGACTCTGAGTAACTTCAGAATGATACGTGCTTTGACATCAGACACCAAAAAGTCCCTAATAACGTAAAAGTTGCTGTATTTGTTGTTGGTACAAAAAGAAAGTTGCCAAGAGGAAAAGTCGCAGGATTTAGCAGGAAAGTCTCCCAAGTTGGCAACACTGAACAGAGACCTTGACAATGAAAAAAAAGAACCGTGTAATTTGCCTATATCTTCCTGTTTTATCGTCCTGTTTTAATTAGTGCTTTAAAATTACTAATGTCATTGGGGAAGCAGCCTAATCATATATGGAGTTTTAACAGATAAAATATATAAATCAAATAGGAATTTAAATGATCACATGCTGTCAGGGGGATAAGAACACAGAGACAGCAGATACACTTTTGCTCATCTGCTATTCAATATTTCTATTCTATTCAATAACATGCAAATTCACATATTTATTTCATAATAAAATTACAATACTTTTTCTTTACATGATATCAATGAAATAAATAATAATTTGACAGAAATATATTTAAAAAGGTTAGGTCAAGGTGAAGATTATTAATTACAGCACTTATTTAAGTATATTAAATATGTTGGTAAGATCTTATAAATATTTATTTTCAAACATTTATTTAATTTAACTAATATCTGATTGCACTTCATTGTATGTTTAATATTGTGGTTTCCTACTTCACATTTTATTGTTATTGATATACTTCATATAAAGCAGTACCGTATGTTGTATGTGGAAACATTGAAACATATTTGCAATGCCATGGTTAAATGAAGCCACTGCAGCATTAGAAAAACGTTTTTTGTACAACAATTTAAAATTGAAGTTAACCCTTCATCATACACGTTCATTGGCCTGTTTCAATATGATTTGTTGAATACAATATGACATATTTGACATATATATATATGCTGACACAACATGTTGGTGCTTGTTGTTGTCCTGTGTTAATGCATTTTCTTTAGTGAGTTTAGCTTTTTAGCCAATTCTATATAAATATAATCCTGGTACACAAGATCTCAGAGAAAGACATATTTGTTTTGAGTTGTTACGTCCAGTTATCGCAAGAAGAGAGAAGATCTAAGAGAGAGGGGTGAAAGTGTATTGGTCCTTGCTCTTTTAACGGCTCTTCTGTAAATGTAGCGTTTCCCAAAGCGGAGACCGAACGGGTTGAAATTGAATTGATTCCTGCGGTCGTTGCACAGGAGCCGCCTCTGTTCCTCGTTCTCTCTCAGGGAGAAACACGGGTTGGCATCGTCCGCCAGAAATGCTCCAATAGTTCTTCTTGTGAGCGTAGAAAGAACTGACCCTGAGTGAAATGGCAGCAAAAAAAATAGAGCTCAGATAAAAGCAAACATCCTGCATTCAACAATTTTTTTTTATTCTATAATTTAATGAAGCGATGCATTTGAGTTTAACTACATTTCATAAATTGTTTGTATTATATGTAAATTCATAATCACTGAAAAAACAATAGCTGCCAATTACATTTTGTGGAAAAGAAAGTAAAATATGTCCCTCTGACATTACAGAAATTAAAGGAAATATTGTAGGTTAAGCATAAGTCATGCAAACTGTAGTCAAGTACTTCTCAGCCCCTCAGCCAAGTGAAATGAACTATGATCAAAAATAAAATATGACCAAATCTTTTGTTAAAATGTATTTCGGTTGCCCACCTTTTGGAAGTATCCTTTGTGCAAAATCAAATCCTGGCCGAGCGGCTCTCACACTCCCTCCATCATTAACAACCATCAGCCCGCACACCACAACCAAAGCGAAGAGTCTCATGATCCTCTCTCTCTGCATCCAAACTGTGCGGATAAAAGTGTTTATGTTCACTTCTTAGCAGGTACTGACATGGCCACTGTTATCAGACCTGTTTTAATATTTCCACTATGTCACCACGTGCTCCTACAGCTCACAGCCAATCCCACAAAGCCTGCGTCCCTCTGTAAATTGCCGAGCTGTCCAAGGCTGCTGGTTCTGAAATGTGTAAGTCATCTGCTCTTCCGGGAAATGTTGTGAGCTCACTTTGCTCCTGGACTGATCGAGAGATAATGTGTTGCCGCATTTTGAAAAGTAGTGAACTGGTCAGCATTTAGTGGCAGAACCAAAGAGAGAGAGCTCCTGTTTCATGCCATAAAACAGGAGCAAACACCAAATCATTTTTTTCAACTGAGCACATAACATCATTAAAAAACCAACGTTGTTTTAAAGTGTCTACGTCTCCAATGTGTTTATTAAAACGGAACTCTAGCCAGAGTCTGGCCCTGACATTCACCAGCCACACTGCTCTGGCCTCAGCCCCTCTCTGTTCTTCACTCTGGCCTAAAATAAATAAAAATCTTTTCTGTAAAAACCACATTAAAAAGACTAAAAACCAATGTTAAATGAGGAGGCTCCTTTCCTCCCCCGTCTACCTCTGGTTAGTAGTAGAGAGCCCAGGGCCGGGGCGTCGCTCAGCGTCGGCCCCACTGCCTCCACCAGCTGCTTCAGGCACAGGACTTGTGCCTCCAGCAGCGCCCCCATCAGGCCTGGGGTACCACTGCTGCTGATGTCCAGCCTCGCTCTGTGAATCAAAGGCTCTCTCAACAACCAGTACAGAAAGGAAGACTGTGGGCACTTTTTATGATTAAAAAGGGCCCAAGACTTAAAAACACCCTGATAAAACGGAGGTAGCCCTTTAAATCTTTTGAATCAATTAAAAACAGAGCAGTATCCAGCCCCAGGTTGTTTACACGTCTGAAAATACAGCTGGCCACGTCCCTCCATACTAAAAACTCTGGACCTGTGAGATATTTCTGTAAAAACTGGAGTCTAAAAGTGGTCGTCCGGCTGGCCAGGTGGACGAGGCCCTGTCCCCCCTCCTCTCTGGCTAAAAACAGCACCCCTTGTGGCACCCAGTGTAGACCCCCCAAAATAAATCCACCATTTTTCTTTTGTATGTTGGCTAGGAAGCCTGAGGGAGGGTCCAGGCAGGTGAGACTGTGCCACAGCTGGGATGCAATCAGGTTGTTTAAAACCAAAACTCTACCTTTAAAAGACATTTGAGGGAGCAGCCATTTCCACTTGGAAAGTCTCCCCTCAATTCTTTCTGTGACGCCCCCCCCTGTTCTTCTGGACGATGTTCTCTTGTCCCAGATAAATCCCCAGGTATTTAAAACCATCTTTCCTCCACACTAGGCTTTGGGGAAGAACTGGGAGGCCGCCACGCCATTCACCGACAGAAAGGTCTTCACTTTTCTTACAGTTCACCCTCGCTACAGCCGGAGACTGTGGTCCAACCACGTAGGTTGAGCCCCACACCGTGTGTTAAGGATCATATACAGGTGTCTGCGGTTAGACACTACGTGCTTTAGTAACTGAGACTTACATCCAGACAAGATCTTTTTGATCGGTGACATCACCTTTCTGTGTCTGGAGAGCTCTCTACTGAGGAACTCGTCTGTGATGAACGGAGGGACATTTGATAGGACCACCTTTGTGGCCGGTTGCGTCAGTGGCAACACCTGAACGAACATGTGGTTTACCGTGAGGACCGCCTCGACGACTCGGTTCACCTTCCCCACCTGGTCCAGAAAAATGACTACGGCCCCGTTCATCCGGGTGGCCGATTTCACGCTGCTGTACTCAGCTACAATTTTTGTTGCCGGTTGCGTTAACGGCAACACCTGGACAAACAATTCTTTTACCGTGAGGCCTATCTCGACGACACGGTTCACCTTCTCCACCTGGTCCAGGAAGGTGACTACGGCGCCGTTCATGCGTGCTCCACCCTGAGCCGAGCCGCCAGCAGCCCCGTCAGCATTAAACTCACATCTTCTGACCCTTCACCGCTCACAGGGTTTTTCCATATTTTCCAAATTGCAAGTTTGGCCAGTCCTGAAAGGAAATTCATCAGCAGGCCGAGAACGCACAGAACACAAGAATGCATTGGTTAACAGTGTTCTCCTCAAACTAGCACCTCAGGAAAGTACATTTATCTTTTTTATGATGGTATCATTATTTGTGTTATGTGCGTTTTTCAGCCTTCTCTCGGCCTGCAAACGCCTTAATAGTGAAGAAAGCAACAAAACTTAGTTTGAACAAAGAAGGTTGGAAAACTATTCACAAATCATGATACCATCATAAAACAGATAAATGTACTTTCCTGAAGTGCTAGTTTTAGGTAAACACTGTTAACCAATGCATTCTTGTGTTCTGTGCGTTTTCAGCTTTCTCTCGGCCTGAAAACGCCTTAATAGTCATCAATGCACCAAAACTTAGTTTGAACAAAAAAGGTTGGAAAACTATTCACAAACCATGATACCATCATAAAACAGATAAATTTACTTTCCTAAGGTGCTAGTTTGAGGAAAACACTGTTAACCAATGCATTCTTGTGTTCTGTGCCTTTTTAGCTTACTCTCGGCCTGCAAACGCCTTAATAGTCATGAATGCACCAAAACTTAGTTTCAACAACACACACACGGTTGGAAAACTATTCACAAAACCATGATAACATCATAAAA